AAAGGCCGAAAAAGCTAGGGATTTTAAATGTTGGGTATAGATTTGCCTATCTTCATGTTTCACTGACTGCAACAGGTATTGACAAGGAACAATCTAAGAAGTAGAAGTATTACAAATGTTAAACATGCAACAAGAGAATAAAAACCCCACAGAGACCAAAAAACCCACAAACCAAACCAACTCTGGTTTACGGAATCGTTTAAAGAAAATGTTAAAAAATAAACTAAAGAATTATGTTTTCTTCTCTAGAAAGGATAGTTCTAATCTATCCTTTGGGGTCATTATGTGTTAGAATCAACTTGCAAGCAGTCAGTTTGACTACTGTAGAGGTATTTAATAATTAATTTTGCTGAGAGGCTGTAAACTAAATGACTATCTAAAAATCTATATAACTTCACTTAATAGTGTCATTGTCTAGGAAAAAATCTAAAATCTTTGAAAATAATCAGATATGGCTTAATTCTTCTTACTTTTATTTGCTTTAGTTTATATACATACCATGTTATATCTTTTTATAGCATTATTACTGTGAAAATTTTATCTTTTTAAAATTCTAGTATTTCTTATAAATAACATGTAAAGGAAAATAAATCTAAGGTGAGCTTTAGAAAATCAGTAGGAGTATGTATACATTTGCCATTTCTCAGTATCAAATTATTTTACATACATATATTTTGCTTGTGTAAGTTTACATTCTTACCTGTACAGAAACAGTACTCTTGATATGAGGAGGAAGAGTTTGGACCATTTCCAGAAAGCATCGAAGTAGCCCCAATGTCCATACATTAGAAGAGTTAGTACTCTCATCTTTATTTTCATAAGTAAAAGGATCAATTATATAAACAACAATTGCAGGTGGATAAGTGACTGCATGTGAATCACCATCTGTGGGTATTCCAACTTTATCCCGATCCATTGTGCTAAAATTTGAGTATGAACAAAACAAAAAGGAGAACTGTTATAGAGCTTTACTTCTGTAATCAAGGCAGATTCTACACAGCTCCAATATTTTCTCTTGGTGGATGATGCTAGAAAACATCTTTGAAAACACAGAATAGATCTTTTCCCAAAAGGAGAACCACAAACATTCAATTTCATTGTAAACATTAAAAAACCCCAAAACAACCATGATTTAAATCCTAATTTCAATTTATTTAAATTATGAACTGCTAAAAACTGCAAAGGAGAGAATTCAACATTAAGACATAAAACTTAAAGATAAAAAAAAAAATTAAATGAGCTGTTCAAGACCACAAAGTTGGCTACAAAAGAGTAAAAGAAATCAAATTCTAGATTCCATTCATGTTCCCCTACATTTATGAAACTACGTATATAAACTTCAACTAAGTAACTAATTATCATCCTATGATGTGTGAAGTGATTTCATAAACCTTCAAACTTTATTAAGATGGGTAAATCAATTTAGATAACTTGATTTGGGCCAAAACTGTGTCCTGGGTAGCTGAAAGAGATCACTAAAATCATAATAACTTAAGCTATTAATCAAAAAGAAAGCCTACTCAGTATTTTAATTTTAAAACAGTAATATGAGATAGGCTTCATCTTAACTACTATCATGGTAAGTAGTATGAGAGCTTAGAAGCACTACATATTTCATATGTCAGTGTCTCCATTTTACAGATAAGGAAATATGTACAAAAAAGATTATGTAACTGTCCAAAAGTCATATAGGAAGTAAACTGAAGACTTGTGAATAAACTTCAGGTATGACTGAAGTCTCTGAACAAATACTGTGAATAGTGACTTCTCATTAACTATGGTGATATACATAGGCTCATCTAATGTATACTAAAGATGCAGAACACATTTAAACATCAGATGGGTAATATTTAAAATTCTGGAGATCTTCAATTCTATATTAAGAGTCTAGGAATCAATGATGAAGACTTTATGAAGACTTCTCATAATAACTTATATTTAGTCAGTAATATAAAAACTGTAATTTCAAGTATAAGATAAACAAGCTCTTGTGTTCATTCAAAATGTCTTATTTAGGAAAAAATAAAAACATAAGCTTATGTTTCTGCAAAGCAAGATTCTAAAAGGTACCTTTCAGGCACATCAGGATGGGGCTGAGTAGAAAGCAAAGATGACTCTCCAGATATCCCAGCTGTCTGTAAAGATGACTGTTGCCCTCCTAGCTGGCTATTCTGAACTGTAGTTGTCTGTGTAGACATGGATGGTGCAGCACTACTATTCATACTGCCAAAGGGTGGAAATGAAGTTAGTTTATTTGATGATACTCCACTATTCAAGTTGGAAGATGACGAAGATGAAGTTGAAGTTGTGGTCAAAGTTGAGTTAGCTGTGGCAACTGAAGAAGACATGGCACCACTTGAAGTCAATGTCACAGTGTTGCTTGTTGCAGATGCAAGGGTGGTGGATGGAGTGTTAGCATTTCCAGTATTTGTCATCTGAGGTGAAGTAATCGAAGACTGACTTGTAGGGACAACTAAATTTGGCTGGGAAAGCAGCGTGCTATCCAATGGCTGAGAAGCAAGATAAGGACCTAAAGATAATAAAAACCACATTCATGATACATCACTAGCTTTCTAATTATCCCACAAAAACTAAAGAAACACATTTAAGATAGAAATTTTAAATAAACTAACATTTTCACACAATTTAACAAAATGACTATGAAAGTGAAATAAAATTTTACATTCTAAACATCAGTTAATTTTCATGACTCCATTCAGCATTTCTAAACCACTAGTTCAATATATGATATTTTATTATTAAAAAGATTTTTATTATTTCTATAGATTTTATATAAATTTGAAATGTTACAAAATAAAAAGTTCCTGAAAAATCCAGCACTTAAAAAAAATTAATTTTTAGGTGTGTTGTCAGGTTGAACCTGATTCACTGAGACCCAACATTAGTGTAGTTAGATCCCCCTGTGTCAACTCTGACTCGGAGACTGTATCTATAAACAAGAGGAAAATCTCTGCCTGATCCTGTACTACCCTCCCAATCTCTGCACTACTTAAACTGCTGCCCAATAAGAATTCCTAACCTGTATTTTTTTAAATGGGAACAGATAACTAAGTCTTCTTTCCTACAAGAGAAAACTGTAAGTATCAGCTGTTGACTTCAAATAATCTTTCATGTAGCATCCAAGCACTTTAACTACCATACCATCAGAGTTCTTTATATAAAATAATGTTAATACGTGTCAAGTTAAGAATAACTAGTAAAGACGCTGCACTGCAATCCCAGAAGTACGCAGTTCAAATCCACCAGATGCTCTGCTGGAGAAGGAGGGGGCAATCTCCTCCTGTACCAGTCAGATCTGATTTGATGGTACACATAAAAATGATACAATAAAAATTTAAAAAAAAAAAAAAAAAAGAATAACTAGTAAGATTAAATTATTTTGATTCTACTTTCTTTGGACTGACTCTCAAACAAGACTATGGATATTAAGTCAAGGAAATGAAAAAGATAAAAAAATAGTTCCCTTTTTATTAGCTCCAATAAAGAACTGTTTAGGAAATAAATTTTCTCTTTAAAGTAACACTAATCAGTAATTATTTATTAATTAATCCATAATTAGTAAATTAAGACTCCTGATATTAATAAATTTAATAAAAACATGTTCATCACACCTAAAAGAATCAACAAAAACATTTCTAACCCATAACTTTTTTCTTAATGTATTCCATATGCCAAAGACCAGCAGACTTTTTCTATAAAAGGTCAGATTATTGTGCTTGCTTCGGCAGCACATATACTAAAAGGTCAGATTATTAAACATCTGTGGGACACAGTCTCTGTAACAACTATTCAGGTCTAATATTATAACACAAAAGCACATGCAATACATAAATAAATAAGTATGGCTATGTTCCAAAAAAAAATTTATTTCTACAAAGAGTTGGTAAACCAATCCATCCTGGTTATTACTGCCATTAGACAATAAAAACAAATTAATACCTAGGTCATATCTGCAGACTTGTGCATAAAGCTTGAGTTTAGAAAATGCTTCATTGTTACAATCAGCTGCCTGAGAAAACCATTCTGTTACCAAATGTTCTGACAGTTTCTTTGATGCTGTAGATCCAACTTTCATGATGCCATCTGTCAACAGTCGTGAAATAGGTCTATGTTGTCCTAATCGACAGGACTACAGATAAACACAGAAAGTATAAGTGATGAATATATATTAATAATACTGCACATATTGCTTAAAAAGCTAATTTATTCATGTAAAATAAACCAAATTATTTATACGTAGAACCTGGAATACAAATATCAAATGTGAAATTTTTCTTCTGCATATTAAAAATTCATTACCTTCCTTTAAAAATTAAAATATACCTATTTTTATTTATTTATTTATTTTTTAATTTTTGTGTGAGTGTACCGTCAAATTAGATCTGACTGGTACAGGAGGAGATTGTCCCTCCTTTTCCCGGCAAAGAATCTGGTGGATTCGAACCGCGTGCCTCTGGGATTGTAGTTGCAGCT